GGCCCGGTGTCCTCCCCCCGGCTCGGTGTGGGGGGGCTCTGCGGGCCGGGGCGCGGCCGCCCCGCTCCCCGCGGACCCCGGCCCCGCTCCCGCCGTGACTCTGCAGGAAAACAGGGCCCGGTGGGAGCGGCGGGGCGGGCGCGGAGCCGCCGCCGGGCCCGAGTCCCCCCCCCCGCGGGCCGCGCCGCTCCGTCCGTGACTTAGCAAATACCGGGAGGAGGCGATGGGCCGGGGTAAATAGCGATAAAACAGCCTTCAGGGACGATGGGCCTGGTGTGTGCGCGGAGGGGACCCCGAGCATCCCTCCCCGGTTCCTGCCGGGGTTTCCCCTGTCACCCTCTCCCCGGGCAGGGCCGGGCGTCGGGCGATGGCCCGGATCGCCAGCGCGGCCGGGGCACCGAAAACAAGACGAGAATTAATAATCCAGGCGAAGGAGTAGGTGTTGTTTCAGAATTTGTCTCACATCCCCAGTTTTCCTGCAGTGCTCAGCAGGGCAGCAGCGATAGGAGGTGGCTCAGACCTTCAGAACCAGCTGCAGTAAAACGGGGGAGGGAGGTCTAATCTCTCCTTCTGGGGGTCATATCACTGCCTGGATGGCTGCAGGTGCACCGGCTTCCCGTGAAAACCTTAGAATATTGCTTAAAGCCTCTATTAATTGCTGCTCCCGGGGTTTTGTTTCGGCAGGAGGTTATAGGCAGGCAGGGCTTTTGATGGAAGTTGGGGGGTGGGAGTGGTGCCTCCCTTGAAAAGTTTGGGGTTTGTTCAGTTCTGTGGGCGTGAGATTTTTCTTTTAATTTTTTTTTTTTTTTGTTTAAGGTGGATGCAATTAAACTTGACCTTTAATACCAATAATAATGTGACACCTTCCCTTTCTTTGCCATGGTATCACTCGAACCATTTCAGTAGTGCTGCAGCAGTGGGCTTGGTTGGTGCAGGTCAAGCCCTTTCATAATGAATTGCTTACTAGGGATGGGGGAAGGTTAATCTAAGCTATATTAAAAATCTTTAATAAACATCGTTTTAGTATAATTAAATGTTTGGGCATATTGACCTGGCTAAATTATGTATTTTTGTGGTGATTCTTTTAAGTATATGTTCCTATGACAGTATTGTTCATGGCATTAGGAGGTGGTGGTTAAAGAACCTCCGTTCAGTGATGATCATTTTGTAAATGATTGTGCAGCATTTGGCTGGTTTTCGGGAGAGGGAGGGTCTGCTGTCAGAATGTTATTTGCCCTTAGAGTCATTTTGTTAAATAGGAAAATTCTGTTGGGGAACTAAACAAAGAAAATATTTTAAAACTGTGAGATGCATTGCAAATATCCGGCTTGTTCTCGGGCATCTCGTTTTTGTGTGTTTCTGTTGCTGTTCCCATGTTTGTGGATGCTGTGAGCAGCCATTGAGCAGGGAAGAGACTGGGTGGAGTAAGGAGGCAAAGCTGCGAAATGGCTCGATTACCCTTTCAGAGCTTTTTTTTTCCTCCCTTTGCCGGGGTGGAGGAATACTAATTGCCGTAACAATGAAGTCTCTTCTTTAGGGAAGAATCTAATGGTGCAGGAAGCTTCGGAAATGAAACAAATCTCACATTCTGTTCTGAGACTGATTTTTCTGCAGGGTGGATTTTGATTTGTCTGGCAGTGAGAAGTGACCAGTCACTGTTGCAAAGCCGGATTTTTATTTTTTTGTCTGATAACCGCTTCAATTTATCCACTTAGATATGCACTTGTTGAATTGATTTTATTTACACTTTAGATAAGAATTGCAATTTTTGTGGCGGTGTTTTACACACGAGATTTTCTGGAATCTAGAGAAGCCTCTGTATTGTGGCTTCATGCTGTTATTTGTTCATGGAACTTCTTGGTTAGAGCGGATTATGGGTGGGCACACAGAAAAAGAAAATCCCTGGTTACTCTGGTGACCACAGTGGAGTGACTGCTGTCAGCGTACAGACTGGATTGCATTGCCCTTCCTCACGTACCAAGTTCTTGTAAAATAACATCTCAGGATTTTGGAAGCCCTTTTGAGCACTGTACCTCTGTTAGAGCAGTGCTGTCCCCCTTGGGTACTACTGCTTAAAGTTGTGTAGGAAAAGCGTTTGAACAAAGGATTTGGGGAATACAATAGGGATTGGAGGAAGCACCTTGGAAGGGCTGCCTGTGGAAGTGCTCTCCTGTTCCACACGTGCCTCATGGCATTCCCATCTGATTTCAGTGCTGACTGGAGCAAGTGCAGCATTGAACATGGATGGTTCTTGAGTGGGCTGCGGTTTTGCTTTTTCATGGGGGTCTCAGTTCTGGAGTGCAGTTTGTGATAGGAGATGGGCCCACAAGAAAGAGACTGTGCTTCTCTTAGTATGCCCAAAACTAAAACAAGGGGCAGTGCTTCCTGCATTATTTCTAGTTCATTCACTTGGAGTAGATGTTCCAGGATTCAGTGGCTGCATGAGCCAAATACCTGAGTCTAATGTGTATCCAGGCTAAGGCCAAGGAAGAACCTAGCAAAACTCTTTCCATCTTAACAGCTTTGGTTGATTTTTGCCCTTGAAGTGATGGCAGTCACTTTTTCCACAGGAGTAACTTGTTCATTTGGGTTCTGCAGAACCAAAGGCATCAACAGTTCCTTTCTGCCTGCACAAAGGCTCTGTCTTGCCCGTCCTGCTGACCCCGGTGCCTGTCCTGGCTCCTGTGCTCCTCCCAGCCTGGGAGCTCAGGTTATGTCTTTGCTCTCAACTTGCTATGGGTGGGACAGCTCCAGAGTCAACATCTGCTGACTGCCTTGTCCAGCACTGCAACCTTGTCTTCCATGAAGAGCTCCACAGCCCATGTCCATTGTTGATTATAATGTATTTACACTTCTTGTGGAATGTTCTGGGCAAACAATAGCTGGACCCCTCTGCCTCAGGGTAGCTCAGGTATAGACTGCATATGTTTGTAAGGTTTTTTACAGCCCTCTGTAGCTGCCCTGTTTTCCTGAGCTAGTGGTGTTGGAATTACCTAGTACAAAGGAGAGTGACGTTGGAATAGTTTGGTTTAGGTCAGATCCCTTCTACTTTGGTGAGCTTCAGGCCCATTTTCTAAACTAAAGGCAAAGACTGGGAGAGCAGCTGAAGCATCCATGAAGTGGGCACTGAAATACTTGTCAGACTGAAAATAAGAACTGTGTAGGCCTAAATTCAGGAAACCAAGAGGACAATAGAAATCCATAATTATTATTAATAGGTAATAATTTCAGATTTCCTAGAGGATGCGGGGGAGTTTCCAGTCTCTCACATGTAATTTGTGATGGCAAATGAAGATCTTTCCCAAGGATCAGAGCCATGTATGTTGATAGAATGGTGCTGGGACTCTCCTGTGGGGTTTGTTGCAGAGAAGTCATTAAGGTATGCACTGTCCATACTTGCAGATCTGTCAGTGACATTACAACTGGCTCCTCTTTCTCCCTTCTGTAAGAGCTTAGGTGTCATTGGCAGGACAACCTGACTACTAAAAATGTATTGCACTGGTGAAGCCTTGCCTGGGTTCAGGGGCTTTCTCAGGAGCTACTTCACTACCTGACACGAGGGGAATGGGGCTCCTAATGTGGCTTTTGAGGATTTTATTCATGGGTGATGTTGCTTTATCTTTTGATCTGCCTGACAGAGTAGGCTACGCTTTAAGTTTTTGGAAGTAGGTATTTACACTAAGATACAATTCTGAGCTGTTTAAAATCAGTTTTCAAATACATAAAGCTGTTTCCTCAGAATTTTTGCTCTGAACGCTGTCCTTGCTAGGGCAGTGTGAAGGGCTGTGCTCTGTGAGCAGGATGGTGCCACCACTGGGGTTGGGTTAAATGGCTGGTTTTCATGTATTGCAGTTATTTTAGAACAAAACTTTTCTTCATTCCTACCATGTTCTAAGACCTACCGTACATATTAAAAGCCTTGGCAAGAACCAGTATTTTGTCTGATGAGGAAGAGAATTCCAGTTTTACCCTGGAGATGCCAGGGTTAGCCCAACAGATGTGTGTTGCTAACCTGTATCTTATCTCAGTTGCTTAAAAAAGGGCCTTTTCCTCTCAGTGGAGGCAGGACCTGGATGAGGCAATGTTTGTCTCATTCATAATGTTTAAAAGCTTATTCTGTTTTCTTTTTTTTTAACATCCTGCTTTCTCCTTAAGGGATTAGATAGGTGTGACTTAGGCTCTTTTGCTTTTAGGTCACTGTCTTGGAAGCCACCTATCATTTCACTTCCTGCTAGCATCTACTGTCAGGAAATTTCAAAGAAAAATGTTATGTACAAAGTAAGTGTATGCTGAACTCCATTTCCTTGGGACTATAAACATGCAGTCCTTTCAAAACTAATGTTGTGCACAGCATTGTCACACTGACCAATACCAAGAGCACTCGTGCATATGTAACTGTGTAAAAAAATCAACATTATTAATTCAAAGTACTTGCTAGTTGATACATTTGGAATTATTTTTGCCATTTCCTTCTTAATGATACTGCTTGTGAGTGAGCTCTGTAGCTTGGCTTGGCTGCTTGTGGACTTTGGATAAGGATTGTGATTAAATGAATGCAATAAATACATCGTTTTGGTTGTGGTTTTCTTGATTCTGCAATATTTCCCTGATATTTTTTACTAGTAACTACTTGCTGCAGCCTTGAGAAGGCGTTTCCAGAGATGGGACCATGCATGGCTGAGGTTTGTAG